CCATAGGACTCCTGTACCCTCCAGAACCAACAGACCTCTAAGAGAAATACAAGGGGGGGGTAGGTGATCTCCTGAACATGCCCTTGGGCAGAGGCAAAGTGTTGTGGAGTATTATTTTAAGATGTGTTACATTTGTTTATGCTGTGGAACCTTTATTTTAATGATGCAAAGATGTGTTACATTCTTTTGTGTTGCATTTGTTTAACTCTGTGAAGCTGTGTTACTGTGCCTGTCTAACACACCTGATGGTCTAATAAAGAACTGAACAGTTGGTAGCTGAGCAGAGAAAGGATAGGCGGGGCTGGCAGGTAGAGAGAATTAAACAGGAGGAGAAATCTGGAAAGAAGGGATCAAGGAGTAAGAAAAAGAAGAAGAGGAGGACCAGCCACCCAGCCACCCAGCCACCCAGCTACCCAGCCACCCAGCCACCCAGCTACCCAGCCACCCAGCCACCCAGCTACCCAGCCACCCAGCCACCCAGCCAGCCATGGAGTAAGAGTGAAAGTAAGATACACAGAAGTAAGAGAAAGGAAAAAACCCAGAGGCAAAAGGTAAACAGGATAACTTAAGAAAAGCTGACTAGAAACAAGCCAAGGTAGGGCTGGGCTTTCATAAGAAATAATAAGCCTCCATGTGTTTTATTTGGGAGCTGGGTGGGGGGTCCCCCAAAGAGCAAAGAGTGAAAAAAACAACCAAAAACAGCAAAGCAGGCAGACCCAGGACTCATCCTGAATTCTGGGATGCTCACAGTAAACTCTATACAGGTCATGCCAGTGAGTGACCGTTCGCACCCTAAGACGACACTTGCTCCATCCCCTGTCCTGAGAGTGTGTGAGAGGGGGTGGGACTGGAGGAATGGTAGTCCCAGAGATGGGTCAGCAGGATGTCTGATGTTCTCAGAGCAGAGAACACATTCTCCCCCAGGTTGTTAAAGCGAGCGTCACTGCCCTCTATCCTCAATGTCATCTCCCTGCATCACCTACTAGGTGGTCAGGCCTCTCACACCTTCTGCCCAGTGACGGATGACTCATAAGAAGCTCAAGCCTGATTGGTTCTTTCCTCAGACTCTGTCCAATTCTGGGGTCACAGTCAACGTTAGTCACAGTCTCTGCTGTTCACCCAGGAGCCCAGCTTAGGGAGCCCTCCATCCCCTGGCGGCTACTTTCCTCATTCACCCACCCTGCCAACTCCATGATGGTCCCGGGGGTCCCTGTGGCCCCCTGGTTAGCAGCTCTGACGGTGTTGCTGAGCAGAGGGATCCAGGGTGGGACCCCTCCAGGTAAGACTGAACGCAGCGGCGACTCTGGAGGGCCTGGGCTTCAGGATCATCCCCTTATAGGACCACACTTTGAGAACTACAGGGGGGGCTTCCCCCACAGCCCATGTCCTCCCTTCCGAGCTAGAAAAGCAGGCTCACCTCCCCACCGCTGTTCAGCCAGTTTTCCCACTCTGAACCGGGCAGAGGTGTTAAGGGGTTGGCATGCATGTCCCTTGGACAACGGGCCTAGAGTTCTAGAATACGTTTGCAGGGCAAGGTTTATGGAGAGGTCAGAAGGCTCAGCCTCCTGGGTTTCCTTCCCCACATCCCCATCACAGCCTTGAAGGGACTCAGGTCACCTGACTCAGCGCTGAGAGAGAGTGGCTTCTGCTCCCCCAGGGTGGGGATGGAGCCCGTGCTCTTAAACAACCAATTGAGAGACGGCGGGATGGACTGTGGTTCTGCCACAGTAGTGTTCTTGTTGAAGGCTAACTTTCTGAGACCCTCGCTAGTCTTGGAGTGGGTTGAGAACTGTGGGAGAACAAGATGAGGGTGTGTAGGCACATGAGAACCAATGAGTGTAGATGACCAGACAGACAGCTAATAGAAGACCTGCCATGGCTTGTGTGATACTGTGGCTGATGGGATCCAGCCTTTCTCAGGATGCTCCTCTCATTTCCAAAGTGACACTGAGCTGTCAGGCCCTAAGTTTACCACATCCTAGGATGGACCTAAAATACAGTGTCCTCGTTTTGCTGTGTTTTCCTGGAATAACTGCATTTGAACCCCCCGAGTCCAGCCCTCAAGCCCCAGGGTGTCTCCTGTGACATCAGGTGCACTTGCTGAGGAGGAAGAGAGAACCTGTCCTTGGTGGTCACAGAGGTTGTGAGACCCAACTAAAGGAACTGCTCAGCTGTGGAAACTGTGCCTTCACGGTCCTGGGAATCAGAGAGTGATGCCCCCAGGGAAGGGGCTTAGCAGAGTTTCTGAATAATGACAGCGGGGAGGGAGACTGAACATGTTTCAATTTTACCTGCTTCACAGATAACTTCCATTTTCAAAAGCTAAGTACTGCCAAAAGTTTTTAAGTTATTTTCCTTGCTTATAAAAACATTATTTGTTGATAAACAAGGAGAAGTAAAAAACGAATGAATTAAAATGACAAGATCCACATCCATAGTGGGGCAAGCAGACAAGGAGAGAGAGGCAGGTGACTGGAGAGGGAGAGAGACTGTGTGGAAGGGGGTGGGGAGTGATGGACGGGGGCCCTGGGCTGAGTGAGAGACACCTGCCATGGAGGCAGGTCAGGACTGCCGAGTAGAGTGTCGGTCTGGCTATTACAGCGCCCAAAGGTTTTCCAACCCTCCCCTCTGTCCTCCGGCCCAGCTGGGCAGGTCCTCCTGAGCCCACCAGGATGAGCCAGCTGTTCAGGCATCTCTGTGGTGACGGGAAACACCAGAACATCCCATAGTCGTCTCTCTCTGCATCTGCACCCCAGCCTTGTTTACTCTCGACCTCAGGGGGCTTCCCAGTGTCTGTAGCTACAGCAAACAGTGCAGATTTGTCTGGGCTCTGGGCTCCTGTCTCCAGCTTTAGGCCCTCCCAGTTCCTCTCCATCACCATCTGACATGATAGGGGAAAAGTTAATTAACTAGCAGGCATCTTATGTCAAATGCATTGGGTGTCCCTCCAGTGTGCTAATAGTGCGGCCTCAGAAGCTGTGAGACAGAGCAGACTTGGCCCTTTAACTTCTGGTATCCCCTTTTTCTTAAGGGGTTTTGAGAGTTCAGGATGGTCTCCAGCTCCCCACAATGCCCCTGCCTCAGCTTCTCAGGCATACATCACCACACCAACACCTGATATCCTTTTAAATGAAGCGACAGCTTACTTAGTTTAGTGTGTTTACTCCTGCGGTGCTGGGAATGGGATCCAAGGCAAGCCTCCATCGCCACGCTGCTCCCAGCCGGCCAGGCTGCTGGTTATGAAACACATTGATGAACGGTTTAGAGCTCCCTCTTGTGGTAGAAACACAACCTTCCGTTTTTCTCTTCGGATCCAGATGGATCGTGTGGGGAACTGGTTGTTGGAGTCAGAAAGAAGGCAGGATTTGCTTTGAGATGCTAATTTCAGTGGGTGGAACATGAAAACAACCACACCATCTCCATTTCCCCCATGTGAGTAAGTACAGACAGACTCACAGAGGCTCACGCAGGGCAAACAGAACGGCAAACAGTGCTGGCGGCTCCTAGGAGGAGAGGGAGGGTTCCCACGTCCCTTTTATAACAGTTACCCAGCCAGTGCCTCTAGGAACGAGGGGACCCACTGGAGCTCTGCTGTGGTGATTTTCAGTGATTAAGGTCCAGGGCAGTATCCACCTCCTCCACCCCTAGATCAGGTTGTCCCAAGATTTGCAGCAATCCTCCTGCCTCTGCATCCTTAGCACTGGAACTTCAGGTAAGAGCTACCATGCTGCCATTACATCTTTTAAAAAACTAATTTCCTATATTTTTTATTTACTTATGTGTGTGGGATGTTTTCCCTGTGTGTTTGTTGTGCACTGTGTGAATGCCTAGGACCCACAGAGGTCAGAAGAGGGCATTGGATTCCCTGGAACTGGAGTTACAGGTGGTTGTGAGCAGCCCTGTGGATGCTGGAAACTGACCCCAAGTCCTCTGCAAAAGCATCCAGTGTTCTTAACTGCTGATCTATCTCTCCAGCCCTGATCAGTTTTTGAAGTTATCGTGCAAACAGGTGAATTTCATCACGGCGTTTCTATACATACAGCCCACACCTTTTTTTTTTTTTTTTTTTTTTTTTTTTTTTGGTTTTTTCGAGACAGGGTTTCTCTGTGTAGCTTTGCACCTTTTCCTGGAACTCACTTGGTAGCCCAGGCTGGCCTCAAACTCACAGAGATCCGCCTGGCTCTGCCTCCCGAGTGCTGGGATTAAAGGCGTGTGCCACCACCGCCCGGCTCAGCCCACACCTTTTAAGACTAAGTCTTCCCACACGGGGACTTGAAAGGTGAAAAAAAAGTTAATACTTTTAGACTAAGAAGTTTCATTTTATATCTTACATTTGTGGATTTATTTCTGCATTTACAGCACGCAGGAGTAGTCAAGACATTGGCACAGACGGGAAAGCATCTTGCTATGGGGAAGAGAAGGGGGAGGCTCCTGGTGGCGGTGACATTTGATGGTGTCCAAGGTGGCTGGGTCAGGCAGGAGTCCCCACAGATAGATGGGTCAGTGACCCCAAGCTCTGCCCTGCAGCTTCACTCCTGTAGAGACTGCGGTGGTGAGATTCTGGAGCTCCTGGTGGTCCCATGTGAAGTGTCACCCCACTCAGCGGCGCACAGAACTGTGACCTTGTCCTTAGTGTCCCAACCCTTCCCACAGACAGGTACTGGTCACCCTCAACAGGAAGTCCCTTACGTCCTGTGAACCTCACCATGATGTCACTCGTGAGGAAACCAAGGCCCAGGGAGCTGTTGGAAGAGGAAGACTGTGTGTGTGTGTGTGTGTGTGTGTGTGTGTGTGTGTGTGTGTGTGTGTGTGCTTTGCCTGCATGTATATTTGTGCACCTCGAGTAGTGGGCCTGGTGCCACTCACTGGACGGCAGACGCAGGCTTTGATCTCTTGGAATTGGAGTTCCAGACGGTTGTGAGCCACCATGCGGGTGCAGGTTCTCTGCAGCAGCAGCAGCAAGCGCTTTTAACCACCCAGCCTCTGTCCGACCCCGCAATCATTCCTTTCTGAATGTGTGGTCACCGGTAGGTGTCCCGTGCTCCAGTGGATGTCCCCACAGCCATGCACAGCTGGGCAGCACTAATTGAACTTGGAGAGAGAGAGAAAGACAGAGCGGGGAGGAGAGAAAGCAGGAGAGAGAAGAGAAGAGAGATGAAGAGAGGAGAGGGGGAGAAGGGGAGAGACAGAGAGAGAAAGGGCGAGGTCCCGGCGCCCCAGGACTTGGCTTCTGATGCCCGCAGAGACCCACCTGCTGCGCGCGCTGCACGAGTGCTACGCAGAGAAGAACGGGACGCAGCAGCGCTTCATCATGAGATGCATCTTCGACCGTGAGGAGTTCATGCGCTTCGACAGCGCCGAGGGCGAGTTCCGCGCGCTCACCGCCATGGGGCGGCCGTGGGCCGAGTCCTGGAACAGCCAGAAGGACTACATGGAGCGACGGAGGGCCGAGGTGGACACCGTGTGCAGACACAACTACGAGCTGAACCAAGGCTTCACCGTGAAGCGCCGAGGTGAGGCCCAGGCGGAGAGCAAGGCCAGGCGGGAGCTGCTGCAGCAGCCGGGCGGGGGCAGGCGGCGGAGCCTTGGGGGAAAGGGGCCAGGGCCAGCGGTGCAGAGCCGGACGTGGGCACACAGTGGGAGTCAGGAATATCAAGAGCGTTGTCATGTCTGGTACCCAGCCTGCTGTGGGGTGAAGGGAGCCGGGCCATGGGACAATCGCAGCGGACTGTGGGGAGACGGGCATCACGTGCCACCTCCCAGCAGTGCGGGCTGTGCAGGGGACACAGGGGGCGGTGGGGACTCAGGCCTCAAGGACAGGAGTTGGAGGGTCTGCCGGGTGAGGTCATCTAGGAAAACCAATCTGTAAAGAGAATAAAGCTGAGTCCTGGGGACAGTGGAGCCGGTGCTGGCTAAGAGCAGTCCCTGGGAGGAGAGCAGGAAGTGAAGCAAAACCCGGGGCAGAGAAGTGTCACAGGTAGAGAGGGTGACAGAAAACGGTGGGACCAACAGTTTCGGGAGGTAAGTCCGCAGACGTTGACGGGTCGGGAAACCAGAGAGAGCTGACAGGTGGAGACTTGGACTCAGAGAGGGAGAGGGAGAGAGGTGAGCTGTGCAGAGTCAGGGGGACTTTGCAAGGCTGGGAGAAAAGAGCCTTGGCTCCTTCCCCCTCAGCTTTTGGAGTGAGGGAGTCTGGTGAGCATCCTGAGGAGACCCGAGGGAGCAAGAGGCAGGGGAGAAAGGGGATCCTTCCGAAGGCACAGGGGAGAGTGTGGGGGACATGCCTTTAACACTCTTTGGGAACCAGGATTCCCAGTCACCAGCTAAGTCTTGACTCCCGGGAATGAGTGAGAATCTAGACAGATTGGGAAGGAATCAGGGCAGTGGCCTGAGCTAGAAAAGGTGACAGAGTAGCTAGGTAAGGGGGTGTCCAAAGCATGCGGGGTTGCCCTCAGGTGCGGCTGGCACCCTTTCCTCCAGTGTGCCAGAGTGCAGAGAGCCCTGGGTGAATCACTCAGACCAGAGTGTCCCAGACTCACTCTGCTCAGCAGAACCCCCAGAATCACCACCCAGAGACCCACACCTGGCGTGCAGAGATCTAAAAGGTTTTCAGTTAGTGTCCTGGGGATGACGGTGTGACAGGTAAGTGTTGGCAGACCCTGAGGATGGTTGTTGAGACCAGTTCACTGTGTAGCCCAGGCTGGACTAGAACTCGCCATCCACCAGCCTCAAGATCGAAAGTCCTGGAATTACAGCTGGGTGTACACCACACAGAACTGTTGTTGAAATAGGAAATGTCAAGGTTGCAGCAGGGTCTTCAGAGTGTTAAATGAGCTGGGAAGAGGAAAGGCTGGAGTCGGAGCAGTGGATAAGGAAATATCATCCTAGCAATAGTAATAATGGCATCAATTATGAGAGAGGAAATACCTTTGTAGTTTAATCTTAAAATTATTCAAAATAAATAACCAAATAATTAACGAAAAAGCAAATAGAATGATTAAGAGCTAGGAAATTTCTTTTTCCCCCCCTTTTTAAAATTTCATTTTATGTGTGCAGGTGTTTTGTCTGCATGTCTGTCTGTCTGTCTGCTTGTGCACCACCATATCTGTATTGGTGCCTGTGAAGGCCAGAAGAGGGCGTCAGATTCCCTGGAATTGGAGTTACAGACAGTTGTGAGCTACCATGTGGGTGCTGGGGATTGAACCTGGGTCCTCTGGGAGAGCATCATGTGCTCTTAACCTCTGAGCCACCTCCATCCCTCTCCCCCTTGAGAAAGAATCTCTGTAACTCAGGCTGCCCTTGAGTTATGGATTTTTCTTCCTTTTAGCCTCAGGAATGTTTGGATTCACAGGAGTTTATCACTGCACCCATCCAGACTAAATTTCTAGTGTGGATAACCAACAAGATTCTAGAAATAAATCATATAAGATGTTCAGTGGCCATTCAGCATGAAGCCTTACAATGTGGGCAATCTTTTGTTTTTGTGAAATATTTTTAAAAGTAAAGTCCCTTAGGCCTGAAGATTTAGCTCCAGAGCCCCCTGGAGGTCAGTTGTATACTGCAGGCAAAGTATCTTCATGGAGCGTTCTGGCACAAAACAGACTTGAAGTCCAGGAGTTCAAAGGGAGGGAAACATGTCTTAACTCATAAATCACAACTCAGGAAGGAGATAACTGAGGAACTGTCAGTTTATAAAAGTGGCCGAAGTGGCTCTAAAAGGGCATCGCCTTGAGCTGCAGAAGGCCAGCAGTGTGGGCAGCTTGACCTGAAGCCAGGAGCTGCAGGAGACAATGGACATTGTGAGGAGTGTGCCCCCATCCTCAGGGTGTTGGTGTGGAAACTGGGAACTGAAAGGTCTTAGGGCTAGCAAGCTGTGGTGTGGAAACCCCCCTGCACCAGCCTTTCTGCAGAGCAGACTGCTGTTTTCTGGCCTCTGAAGGGGAGTATAGCCCGGTGGCAGATGTCCAAAAGTAGCAACTCTCCGGAGGGCTGTGAGGCCCCAGGCAGTGGGCAGCAGCACGGAGGCTGAGTTTGAGCATCAGGGGAAACAAACAAGGAAAGAGCAAGGAGAGAGACACAGAGACATCCGTCTGTGGCTGGCTTCACGAGCACCCAAAAAACAGAAGAGAAAGTTGGGAATGTTGAGGATTGCCACACATGGAGCTCAGAGTGTTGTTTCAAAGGCGTTGTGAGGAGTGAGATCTTGGAGGCTGCACAACCCCAAGGCCGTTAAATACAGAGAGTGACATCAGATGTGTCTCATGTATTAGATGGGGGTGGGCTGGGAAGACGGCCCCGTGACTGAGACTGAGGACTGCTCTAGCAGAGGACCCGGGTTTGGTTCCCACACCCATGTCAACGCCACAACCTCCTGTAATTTCTGGCCTCCTCAGGCACTGCACTCACGTGTGCAAACCCACACACGAACCCACTTATAAACAAAATTAATTTTTTAAAATGTTTAAAAGTTATTATATTGGAAAGCCGATGAGTGCTTTTGTCCGTACATTAACTTCAAGAAATTATCTGAGAGCTGGAGAGCTGGCTCAGTGGGTAAGAGCAGTGGCTGCTCTTACAGAGGACGCAGATTCAGTTCTCAGCACCCACACGGTAGACCATATCCATCTGTGACTCCAGTTCCGAGGGATCCAACACTGTCTTCTGACCTCCGAGGGCACCAGGCATGCACATAATGCACAGACATACATGCAGGCAAAACATTCCTGTATGTAAATAAATATAAATAAATCTTTAAAAATTAATTTTAAAAAGAAATTATTTGAATGAATCCTGCATCCTTCTCACCATGACAAAGTGTTGAAAAGGTGGGAGTCTCATTGTTAAAAGAAAAAAAAAAATGTCTCACCATTTGTTCCTGGCCGTCTTGGAACTCACTATGTAGACCAGGCTGGCCTCAAACTCACAGAGATCCCCCTGCCTCTGTCACCTGAGTACTGGGATTAAAGGTGTGTCCCACAGAATCACTCTCACATGTCACTCTTTTCCTGCTCCTAGTCCAGCCTGAGGTACATGTGTCACCCTCCAAGAAGGTCACCCTGCAGCACCGTGACCTGCTGGTCTGCCATGTGACAGATTTCTACCCAGGCAGCATTCAAGTCCACTGGTTCCGGAACGGCCAGGAGGAAACTGCTGGGGTCGTGTCCACCAACCTGATCCGAAACGGAGACTGGACCTTCCAGATTCTGGTCATGCTGGAGATGACCCCACAGCGGGGAGATGTCTACACCTGCCATGTGGAGCACCCCAGCCTGCAGAGCCCCATTACTGTAGAGTGGAGTGAGTTACCTCGGGGACCCTTCTCAGTCCACATTCTGTAGAGCAGGTGGCACCCTGGCTCACGGTCCACGATCCCGCCCTAGGTGTTTGTACACTGGGTCCTGATCATCCCCTGATCATCCCTGTATTTCCTGGAGGCCCCCCTAAGGCTGCTTCTGAGCTGGAGGCATGAGAGGAGAGCCTGTCCCTGGCCTGGGAATGTTGAGGATAGTGGATCTACCCTTGTCCGGAGTCTAGGGAGGCAGACAAGCCCTGTTCTGTTCTCACACAGGGCCTGACTCCCTCATTCTGTCTGTAGTCTGTCCTTGTTCTGAGAGGCAGCTACCAGAATCCACACTCATGTCCATTTAAGACACCAGCCTAGGTCTAGATCTCAGAGTCCTTCTACATATTCTTCCCCATGATGTGTCCCTCTCGGTGACCTTCATATTGACATTCTGCATCCCTACCAGAGGGCAGTAAGGTGTGGTGTGCCTGCCAGACAGGACACAAACTCTGAGTTCTCCTTTCCAGAGGTCAGGTCTGACTCTGCCCGAAACAAGATGCTGACGGGAATGTGTGGCCTGGTGCTGGGACTCCTCTTCTTGATGTTGGGCATCATCATGCACCTGAGGAGCAAGAGGGGTAAGAAGTGTGTGGAGGGGCAGCCTCCGACCCCAGCATAGGCAGGAGGGTCACAGGTTCAAGGCCTGCCTGGGCTACACCTTGAGATTCAGTCTCAGCCCAGACACCAAAGATGTGAAATAAAGAATCCTGGCAGGTGCCTGGGGCCAGCCTTTCGCTGATATACCCTCCTGTCCACAGAAAGGCCTAAGGCAGAGAAGTGACACTGGAGAGTTCTAGAAGCCACTGGAACTGGTGTCACAGAGAAGTTGTCCTGTAGGGAGAGAGGAAACCCCAGCCTGGGGTCTGACCATAGGGCGACACAGTCCCCAGCTTCCCAGGCTTATGTGGGGAACATGCAGTGAAGGAGATGGAGGTGGGATAGAGTGTCTCTCCATCTCAGGGAATTTTAATGGCTGAATGCATTCCTTTCGTCTCCTCATTCAGCTCAGCCGAGATCTCCAGGATCTACATGAGCAGGTAAGACGCTGTGCCTGCCTATTCATGGTCAGAATATCTCAGGCCTGAACTCCCCTCTCAGGCCCAGCCGCTGAGGGAGTGTGGGGAAGAGTGGGGTCCCCACCACTGAGGAAGGAAGCTGGGGTAAGTTGTTCTTACCAAGCTCACACTCAGTCCTTTTAAAGACTATTTATTTAGTTTTATTTTGTAAGTGCCTGTACCCATGTGTGTCTGTGCACCGCCTGCATGTCTGATGCCTGCTGAGGCCAGCAGAGGGCATCGGGTCCCTTAGAACTGGAGTCACAGATGTGAGCTGCCATGTGGGTGCTGGGAACTGAACCTGGGTCCTCAGCCAGAGCAACAAGTGCTCTTAACTCCTGAGCCATCTCTCCAGCTCCCAACACCATCTTACGAGGTCATAATTTCTCTGTCCTGAGACTTAGAGGACAGAGAAATTGTGTCAGAACCACAGTGACTTGTTTTCCCTCTACAGTGCCTAGAACAAGGTTTGTTCTGTGTCACAGGCACACACACACACACACACACACACACACACACACACACACACACACACAGAGATACACACACACACACAGACACACACACACAGAGACACACACACACATACACACAGACACACACACACACACACACACACGCACACAGTGGGGTCTGGGACCTAGTTATACTTTTCAAGGGCACATCCTCACCGACTCTCTTCCTCTGACTAGGTTACACCTGCCATAGTGTCCACCAGCTCCCAGCAGTCCAGGAACTATAAATCCATCAACAGAGGCCAGAGAGATGGCTCGGCAGGTATGCACTTGCTAAAATTCCAGAGGGCCCCGTTCAGTTCCCAGCATTCCAGAGGGCCCTGTTCAGTTCCCAGCTGCCTGTAACTCCAGCTCCCAAGGATTGTAAGCGCTCTTCTGTCCTCCATGAGCAAACACATGCACACATAAATCCAAATAGAAATAAATCCATCAAAGGGCAAATCCACTGACAAGTTCCTGGCCTCAAGACTGCTCACCTCTGAACAACACTGCATCAGGGACCAAGCCATCAATCCGTGAGCCTTTGGGGGAGCATTTCAGATCCATAGCCTCAAGCATGGCCTCAGAAAACGCAGCGAGCAGACTCCCTGGCAGAAGTCTCTGCTGTCAGATGTCTGTCTGTCTGTCTTGACAGCAAGGTGGTCAGAGGGTCAGAAGTTATCACTTCGTTCCAATTTAAATCACTTAAGTTCAAGTGAAGCCATGAATAACGCAGTAGCTGCCACAGCGGGCAGACGGAGTTTATAATGCTTGTCTACGGCTCTCCGAGTGGATTTTATGGGAATGGGTGCACAGATGATGCTAGAGAATTGGAAAACCGAAATCACTGCAGAACGCAGGGCAGTTGGAGATGAAGTATCTCTCCGTGGCTCATTAGCTCTCAGGTTATCAATCCCCAAACACAACAGACCCATTAGCAAGCTGACAAAGTCACAGAGGAAGTGAGCCCCAGGCTGTCAGATTACCAAACACTGCCCCGTTCAGTAGACGCCACAGAATCACTGTTGTGGTTTGACTGTGAAATGTCCCACACGGGCTCGTGTGTTTACACACTTAGTTACCAGCTGGAGTGCTGTCTGAGACTCAGAATCTTTAGGAGATGGAGCCTTGCTGGAGGAAGTGCTGTGGGATGGTCTGTATGTCAAATGTGTTGCTCTGATTGGTCAATAAATAAAACACTGATTGGCCATTGGCTAGGCAGGAAGTATAGGTGGGACAAGGAGGAGAATAAAGTTGGGAAGTGGAAGGCTGAGTCAGAGAGACACTGCCAGCCGCCACGATGAGAAACAGCATGTGAAGATGCCGGTAAGCCACGAGCCACGTGGCAAGGTATAGATTAATGGAAATGGATTAATTTAAGCTATAAGAACAGTTAGCAAGAAGCCTGCCACGGCCATACAGTTTGTAACCAATATAAGTCTCTGTGTTTACTTGGTCGGGTCTGAGCTGCTGTGGGACTGGCAGGTGATAGAGATTTGTCCTGACTATGGGCCAGGCAGGAAAACTCTAGCTACAAGGAAGTGGAGTGCTGGAGGGCTGCTCTCGTGTTTTACAGCCGAGCCCACTTCCTGTCTGCTCTCTAGTTCCTGACTGCCAAGGCAGTGTGACCGCTGCCTCGTCCTATTGCCCCGCCTCTTCTGCCATGATGAACTGAATCCCTTGGAACTGTGAGCCATGATAAACCACTCCTCCCTCACAAGCTTCTTGTCAGGGTTCTGGGCACAGCAGCGAGAAAAGGAACTGATAGAAACACTGAGGCAAAGAATGAATAAGATTTAAGAACTCAGTTCCTTGCCGGGCGGTTGTGGTGGACACCTTTAATCCCAGCACTGGGGAGGCAGAGGCAGGCGGATCTTTGTGAGTTTGAGGCCAGCCTGGTCTACAGAGCGAGATCCAGTAAAGGCGCAAAGCTACACAGAGAAACCTTGTCTTGAAAAACCAAAAAAAAAAAAAAGAACTCAGTTCCTGGGGCTGGAGAGATGGTTCAGGGGATAAAAGTACTTAACTGCTAATGCAGAGGACTTAGTTCAAATCCCAGCACCACATCAGGCAAATGACAACCACCTGTATGTAGCATGAATCTTAGAAGGTCTTTTTAATAAAATCAAACCTGAGCCAGGTATTGGGGCGAACACTGGAAGATCAGAGAGACAGAACAAGCCACAGCTAACCTCACCTGGCCAACTTCTCAGCTGACCCTGTTTCCTCAGACTGGAAGCCTCTGTGTCCTCATATCCGAATGGCTCTCAGCTGAACTCTGCTGCTAGAAGCCTGAAAGCTTAACCAACCAAATGCTTAACCAGCCAAATGCTTCCAGTTTCTGATCCTCATGCCTTATATACCTTTCTGTTCTCTACCATCACTCCCTGTGATTAAAGGCTCGCTTTCTGAGATTAAAGGCGTGAGTCACCATGCTTGGCTGTATCCTTGAACAGATGGATTTCTGCCTCTGGAATGCTAGGATTAAGGCATGTGCTACCACTGCCTATCCTAAGTATCTAGTGGCTTTTCTGTTCTCTGACCCCAGATAAGTTTATTAGGGTACACAATATTTTGGGGAACACAATACCACCACACCTGTAACTCCAGCTCCAGGAGATCCACCCTCTAGCTTCCACAATCGGCTGCATGCACTTGGTGCACATAAACTCACAGGTGTGCGTGCACGCACATGCACACACACACACACACACACACACACACACACACACTTTAAAAGAACACTCCTCTGTACTTCAGTGTCTCCTCGACGTCGCCTCTGAGGTCAAGGAGCTTTGCCTGACACCTAAAATGAGATGAACCCCAAGATCCTTCCCCTAAGTCTGTTGCAGCACCAGTGTCTGGGGACACTTCACACTGTCATCAAAACATTTTAGACAAAAGGTAATACTGATGGAGGCAGATGCAGAGATCCACGGCCAGGCACCAGGCTGAGCTCCGGGAATCCAATCGATGAGAGAGAGGAGGGATTCTGCAGGCGGGGGACATCGAGATCATGATGGGAAGATGTACAGAGATGACCGGCCACACTAGTGGAAGCCCATGAATTGTAGACTGGTGACTGTGGAGCCCCCATGGGACTGGACTAGGCCCTCTGGATACAGAAGATGGTTGTTTGGCTTGAACTGTTTGGGGGGCACCCAGGCAGGGGAATCGGGATCCATCCCTGGTGCATGGGCAGGCTTTTAGGAATCCAGTGCCTGTGGTGTGACGCCCTGCGCAGCCTTGGTGCAGTGGGAAGGGGCTTGGACCTGCCTGGGCTCAGTTTGCCGGCCCTGCTGACTCCCCATGGGAGACCTTAATTTGGGGGATGTGGGATGGCTTGGGAGAGAGGGCTAGGGGGTGGGAGGAGGGAGGAGGTGGTATCTGTGGGTGGTATGTGGAGTGAGTAGAAAATTTCTTAATAAAGAAAAATGAAAAAAAAAAAAGAATTCTAAGCCAGGCATATTGGTTCACACCTGTAATCCCCAACACTTGGGAGGCAGAGGCAGGAGAGTCATCTACAGGTTTGATGCCAGCCTGGGCTGCACAGTGAGACTGTGTCTAAGAAGAAAAGAAAAGCAGTCCCCACTGAGACTGAGGTAAACCTCAGTGAGAAGAGCTGGCCTCTGCCTGATTTCCATGAGGCGATGTGGACACAACAGGAGAGTGTGTCACCATGAGTCCCACACTTGCTGGAGTGTTCATGGCTTCCAAGCCCTTCAGAGATGGAAGAGGCTGGGGCCATGGCCTTCACAGGAGCTGCTGGAATGTGGAACATGGCGTGCATTCCTTCATCTCCTGTACTTGGGAAAAGCACAGACAGCTTGGGAACAGATTCACACAGAGTGCAGAATAAGCAGGGGGCTTACGTGGTTGCATCCACGGAGGGAAGGGTCTATTTTGCTGCCTTTCACTGAGACTAAGACCTGATTTGTTCCCACATCTGGGCTGCTCAGGGAGACATCCTCATTCTTCATTTAAGGTGTTGTGTGATACCATTCCTGATGAGATGTAAATAAACGTCTACTCACCCCAGACAGGGAACCAACAACAGACCAAAGTAAGGATGCCACCAAAGTCCAACTCGGGGCACCAATGAGTTAAGTCTATTGGGGTCACTATGGAGTGTGGACGAGGAATTACTTACAGGAGTCAATGACAGCTACACTGTCAAGATCCCACTCCAGCACCGGTGATGGCTCATGAAACTGGAAACCTGGAGTGCAGGGCACAACTTCCAAGCAGCCTGATGTGTTGGAGAGTCTCTTCCAGCAGCTCAGCAGGTCTGACTGTTTCCAAGCGGTCCTTTCTGCTCATATGCACTTGAAGGGAAGGACCTAGTAAATCTGGTCAGTTTCAGGGGCTTCCTGGACCTTTTGAGTTGTTCACTTCCTGAGTTTTAAGGAGTTTCCCCAGGGATGGAATGTTCCCTTTCCTTTAGACGGGTTTGAGTTTTAACACTTCCTTATAAGTCCGAATGCTACACAACAAAGGACCACAGAGACAGCCCAATATGCCACTTCCCACTAAACTGCCATTTGTAGCTAGAGTTTTCCTGCCTGGCCCACAGTCAGGACAAATCTCTCTCACCTGCCAGTCCCACAGCCGCTTAGACCCGACCAAGTAAACACAGAGACTTATATTACTTACAAACTGTATGGCCGTGGCAGACTTCTTGCTGACTGTTCTTATATCTTAAATTAATCCATTTCCATTAATCTATACCTTGCCACGTGGCTTGTGGCTTACCGGCATCTTCACATGCTGTTTGTCATCGTGGTGGCTGGCAGTGTCTCTCTGACTCAGCCTTCCACTTCCCAGCTTTATTCTCCTCCTTGTCCCGCCTATACTTCCTGCCTGGCCACTGGCCAATCAGTGATTTATTTATTGACCAATCAGCAACACACTTGACATACAGACCATCCCATAGCAGCCATTCAATACCAATAGGACAGTCATGAGCATCCAAGGCTTGGTGGTGTCACCTTCCCTCAACAAACTGGAGACTCTCAGAAGCCCTCCAGGAGGAAGGTGGCATGTGACTTTCGCAGTCCTGCTCTACTAGGCTCACAGGAACAGGGGCCACACCCCTCAAACCTGGGTCTCTACCTGCCACGTAGAAACTTCCTTGGGAGGCAGGTAGAGCCTTGTTCCTCCCTCCCTTCTGTCTCCTCTCATTCCCACCTAGCCTGGTCCATCTGAGCCTGGGCATGTACCCAGCCAAGGCAGAGAGCAGAGAAGGCCACGGCCTTCTAGGATGTGCAGTGGTCCAGGGGCAGTGGTCCAAGTGTAGTCTTCGTGGTTTTTGTTGTTTGGTGTTGTTTGTTTGTGGTAGGGCCTTACAGTGTAGCCAGAATGGTCTCTAACTCACTATGTAGCTCAGGCTAACCTCAAACTAAGCAATCCTCCCGCCTCAGCCTCCCCAGGTTCTGGATTTGCAGACATATACTGCCACTTCTGGCTTGTAAGATTATTTTAACCCATAAGTCAGGGAAGCCCAAAGCCAAGAAGCAGCTGTGAGTGTGTGAGGCGGGGGACTGCCTCTTGGCAATTTCCCTCCTCTCCTCATTCCTCTTCTCAGGCACCACAGGACGGTGGGCTGTGTGGCTGTGTGACCATCCTCTCCACAGTTCCGTCCCATTCTTGCCTGTTCTGGTGACACCGATGTCTCCCTCTAATTTGAGGTTTCAGTTAAACTTGGAGACTGAAATTTTTCTAGAACCGTCACCTCCTACAGGAGCTGGTGTGTTCTGTCCCAGACAGACCCACTGTGGAGCCTCAAAGCCTTTGATTACTTTCTTTCTGATTCTCTTTCGTCCCCCTTCACACACACACTGCCCCAAGCCATCAGAGCCTCTGCCAGCACCCACATGCCTACGTGCCAGGGCATCCACACTCCCCAGCCCCAGCCCAGAATACCACCTCAGAGTCTCTGCCCTTCAGCTCCTCCCACCCGCCTGGGAGCCAGGCTCCAGGTTCCTAGAGAGGAGGGCAAAGCCAATGCAGGGAGAGGCTGTGAACCTGCCATTCAGCTGCCTCTTGGCAAAGCTGTTCATGACTCTTAGATCGGGTTGGTTGGCACAGTAATTTAATAGCCTGCTGTGGGTTGGCCTGAGGACCTAATCTCCAAATGTGAAAGTTATTGGAGTAGCTGTGGGGCATTGTTTCCATGGAGAAAAGATGTCTGAGCTCAAAGCAAAAGTGACCTTTGGGGACACTCCCCTTTGTGCTCTAGGAGTGACCTCTGTGGTTTAGTCCCAGCTGCAGAGAGAGTCCTGGCCAAACCTCAGCTCTGGCCCAACCCTGCTGGGAATGAGTGTAGGTGGGGAGGGTGAGTGTCTCTGAGGCCAGGGAGCGGGAGGGAGAGGGGGAGGTCTCTCTCAGGACTTGACTATAGACATGGGAAGGCACACAGGATGCCCAAAATCCCATCCCATCCTCTGTGACACTAGGTAGATGAGATGATGCCAACACACACACACACACACACACACACACACACACACACACACACACACACACGGACATACTTCAGGTCTGAGGAATAGGGAATAAATTGATGAACAAAGGAGAAAAGATTTAGTGATACTGTTGGGACTGCATTATTCTGGGTTGTTGTTTGTTTGTTTTTGAGACAGGGTGTCTATTATAGCTCTGGCTGGCATGGAACTTGTGCAGACCAAGCTGGCTTTGAACTCAGATCTACGTGTCTCTGCCTCCCACTGCTCAGATTTTAAAGGCAGGTGCCGGCATGCCCAGCCAGGACTGGATTATTCTGACTGCCTTGCAATGGTGAAGACATCTTAAGTAGAAGACAGCAGAGACAGAGAAAGGCAGAACTGGGCACCCAGATGCAGGAGGGATCTCCACCTGCACTGTCTGCACCTGCACTGTCTGCACCTGCACTGCCTGCACCTGCACTGTCTGCACCTGCACTGTCTCCACCTGCACTGTCTCCACCTGCACTGTCTCCACCTGCACTGTCTGCACCTGCACTGTCTCCACCTGCACTGTCTGCACCTGCACTGTCTCCACCTGCACTGTCTGCTCTGCACTGTCTGCACCTGCACTGTCTGCTCTGCACTGTCTACACCTGCACTGTCTCCACCTGCACTGTCTGCACCTGCACTGTCTGCACCTGCACTGTCTCCACCTGCACTGTCTGCACCTGCACTGTCTGCACCTGCACTGTCTCCACCTGCACTGTCTCCACCTGCACTGTCTGCACCTGCACTGTCTCCACCTGCACTGTCTGCACCTGCACTGTCTCCACCTGCACTGTCTGCACCTGCACTGTCTCCACCTGCACTGCCTGCACCTGCACTGCCTGCACCTGCACTGTCTGCACCTGCACTGTCTACACCTGCACTGTCTCCACCTGCACTGTCTGCACCTGCACTGTCTCCACCTGCACTGTCTGCACCTGCACTGTCTCCACCTGCACTGTCTCCACCTGCACTGTCTGCACCTGCACTGTCTCCACCTGCACTGTCTCCACCTGCACTGTCTACACCTGCACTGTCTGCACCTGCACTGTCTGCACCTGCACTGTCTCCACCTGCACTGTCTGCACCTGCACTGTCTCCACCTGCACTGTCTGCACCTACACTGTCTCCACCTGCACTGTCTCCACCTGCACTGTCTGCTCTGCACTGTCTGCACCTGCACTGCCTGCACCTGCACTGTCTGCACCTGCACTGTCTGCTCTGCACTGAGCCTGCACTGTCTGCTCTGCACTGTCTGCACCTGCACTGTCTGCACCTGCACTGTCTGCTCTGCACTGTCTGCACCTGCACTGTCTGCACCTGCACTGTCTACACCTGCACTGTCTCCACCTGCACTGTCTCCACCTGCACTGCCTGCACCTGCACTGTCTGCTCTACACTGTCTGCACCTGCACTGCCTGCACCTGCACTGCCTGCACCTGCACTATCTCCACCTGCACTGTCTGCTCTACACTGTCTGCACCTGCACTGTCTGCACCTGCACTGCCTGCACCTGCACTGTCTGCACCTGCACTGTCTGCTCTGCACTGTCTGCACCTGCACTGAGCCTGCACTGTCTGCTCTGCACTGTCTGCACCTGCACTGTCTGCACCTGCACTGTCTGCTCTGCACTGTCTGCACCTGCACTGTCTCCACCTGCACGGTCTGCTCTGCACTGTCTGCACCTGCACTGTCTGCTCTGCACTGTCTGCACCTGCACTGTCTCCACCTGCACTGCCTGCACCTGCACTGTCTGCACCTGCACTGTCTACA